GAAGAAGAAGAAGAAGAAGAAGAAGAAGAAGAAGAAGAAGAAGCGATCACTGCAACAACAGTTTTATTTTCCTGACGTTTCGGATTCCATCAGGAATTCTTGATCATAGGTGATGGTAGCATAACCATAGTCTGCGCATGATTTCATTGTTTTAATCTTAAGTTTAACCCTACTCGTAACTCTAATCCTACATTTTGCATTAACCCTGACCCAAATATTAACCATAAACAAAAACAGTTCTCGATCATGTACCCTACTTAGGCCGCCATACAAGTCAAACCAAATTCCCAAAAATAGTTAGCCCCAAATTCTCACACATAGTCCCAACTTTTAGGTCACCACACAGGAAACTTACAAAAAAGTGTCCTTTTGTGAGAAGGAAAATAGTAGGGTTATGGCATAGTTCTTCGTGCGGGGTAATCCCAAGATATAGAAGACACTCTACGGGCTCATTTTTGGGAGCCTGCAAAAACGGCAATGTACAGGGTTAAGATGCAATTCTACATTTTTGAGGAATTAAAAATGCTTGCAAAACCAAAAGATTCACTTTTTGGAGTGCAACTGTGAAGAAGGCATAAGTTGCTGCCAAATGAATACGAGAAAATGTACTTTTGTGCAGCTTTCCTGTAAAATATATTTAAATTTATGAGCACATTGAAAATTAATTAAAGATATTATGCTACCTACTTGGACATTTATGATTTTGGGCGTTTTTTGCAGACAGCCAAAAAATTTTGCTCGAAAGCCGGCGTCTCGACAAGAGATTATGCGGTAACCACAGTTAAATAATTTTTTGTAAAGACAAACCGACATTTCTGAAGTTTTTTAACATTTTATGAAATATCATATCAACGGTAGGCAGAGGTTGAGAGCGTTCTGGACGCTAAGATGCCAAAAAGTTACTGCAAATGAGTTTAAAATTTGCACCATCAGTGCCTCTCAATTAATAAACGGGACTAGAAAAAGTCAATCAGGTTTGAGACGATAGTTGTTTATTGTTTATTTAATACTACCTTCAGCGAGTCATACCACTGATCACTATCTAGTAGAGGACACATATCAAAATTCCAAACCAGCAGCGACCTTCCCCTGGTCTTTGTTGGGCTAAAGCGGGAAGTTTAAGCGACCGGTGATCAGATTCACGTCTCAAGGCAGTCTCAACTGACGGAACAGGCTAATCTAAGAGGCCAATAAAATCGACCTGAGCTGCTTTTTATGTTTCAGTGGGTAGAAGAGACTCTCCATATTTAAAAAAAATAATTTGCAGTACTCTGAATGCCAAATCCTTCTTGTCACAGCTTTAAAGGCAGTTTCTTTATCTCCTTTAGTTCGCTTCAAATGGCCAGGAACCTCCTCGGCAGTGTTTGCGGTTGAAGTGGCCGACACCATCTACGCCACGGGAGTAAAGTCAGCGAGACTACAATTCGAAGTGAGTACCACGACTCATAGTTTTGGATTTTGGCATGTTGGCACTAGCCTAGTGAATTCAATAGTCAGTAGCAAAGCTCCTGCTGGAACACAA